CGAAAAACATCATCCATGGAGGGAGAATGTCCACAAAGAAGACTTCTTCATCAAGATCTTCAGAAATTTTCCAATTGGCTGGAATAGGATGGTCAGCTAAGAAATCTACCAGGACGTGTCCTTTTACTGCCTTTCGTGGCACATAAACAATTTCAAACTCGTTGAACAAAATTGACCACCTCGCCAAGCGTCTGGAAAGGACCGATTTAGACATGACATATTTGAGAGGATCAGCCCTTGCAACAAGATGTATCATATGAGCCAAGAAATAATGCCTCAATTTCTTAGAGGCGAAGACAAGTGCGAGGCATGTTTTTTCAATTGGAGGATAATTTTGCTCCGTTGGGGTGAGTCTGCGACTTAAGTAATACAATGCATTTTCTTTATGTTCTTCATTATTCTGAGCAAGTAAGGCACCTAACGATTCTTCTTGCGCAGCAATGTAAAGTATGAGCGGTTTTCCAGGTATAAGTGCTCCCAATACCGAAGAATTGAAAAGGTACTTTTTAATGCTATCAAAAGCATTTTGGCAAGATTGGTCCCACATGAATGGGGCGTCTTTCTCCACGAGTCAGTTAAAAGGCTGACAACAGCCAGCCAAATTTGAGATAAACCTACGAATGAACGCAAGTTAACCTTGTAAACTTCGAAGCTCGTGTAAATTCTTTGGTGGTGGCATCTTTTGAATGGCCTCCACTTTATTAGGATCAATCTCAATACCACGATGACGTGCAACGTATCCCAGGAATTTCCCTGAAGTCACACCAAATGTACATTTAAGAGGATTCATCTTGAGTTGAAATTTTTGAAAGTGATTAAAAACTGTACGTAGATCCTGTAAATGATTCTTTCGTTCTTTCGTCTTAACCACCAAGTCATCAACATAACATTCAATAATCTTGTGGAGTATGTCGTCAAAGATCCTTTGCATGGCGCGCTGGTATGTTGCTCCCGCATTTTTGAGTCCGAAGGGCATAACTTTGTAGTAATATATGCCTTTAGGAGTGCGAAAGGCAGTTAGTTCCTCATCTTTCGGAGTCATTCTTATCTGATTGTACCCGGAGTAACAATCCATGAACGAGAGAGCTTCATGCCCTGTGGTTGCATCTACAATGAGTTCGGGGATGGAAAGAGGAAAATCATCTTTTGGGTATGCCTCATTCAAGTCACGAAAGTCCACACAGATCCGAATCTGTCCATTTTTCTTCTTCACTGGAACAATGCTTGAAATCCATGTTGGATATTTGACCTCATGAATAAACCTCACTTCAATCAATTTGTTGAGTTCTTCCTCTATCCTTGGAATTAGCTCTGGATGGAAGAAACGTTGAGACTGCTTACTTGGACGTGTCCCATGTTTGACAGCAAGATTGTGCACTGCAATTTTAGGGTCAAGACCGGGCATCTCTTTGTATGTCCAAGCAAAGACATCCTTGTATTCAGATAATTTTCTTCTGAGGGGCTTAGGAATGCAGTAACAAAGACTGGTCTGGGTTGATTGTCAATCCCTAAGTTAATTTCCTTGAGTTGATCAACAGTAGCTTGCCCCCCATCTTCTAGTGTTGGTGGTGTTTTCTTAATGTCATCTGGTTGTTCAGAGTCAGGTTCCTCTTCAACAGTAATGTGGTACGAAGTAACACAAAATGATTTACCAGTATCTTCTGTTCTATCCACTTCTTCTGATTGAGTAGTGAATACAATGGTTCGCCTTCGAGCTTTTAGTATAACATCATTGGTGACATATATCTCTGTCTTACATTTTATTCGCGAGGGCACTAGTCTCTGAACTTCACTTTTGTTCACCACGTCAATACTCGCTTCTTTTGACTTCCCACTCTTGCTACTTTTTAGCGGTGCATCTTTGATAGTACCAATTCGAGGAAATACTGATTTTCGAGGTTGAGGTTGTGGAGATTTTCTTCCTTAGTCATGAAAGCTCATTCTGTTAAAAACAGAGGCACGAGGCAAACTGCTGACATGAGAACTTGAAACGTTTGATTCTTGGCTTGACAACCTGTTGAATACAGATATTCGATCACATGGAGCTCTTATACGATCGAAGACCGATTTTTGATTCATAGTCTGCTGATCTTGTTCATCCTCAACTTCTTCAAACCCAATGTATAAGGTGTTTGACTTCTTATCCTTTTTTGTGATTTGAATTCGGAGTGGCTTAGGTGCTGCAAAACCGAGACCGGACTTAGGTGGAACGATCTTATGCCCTTGATCTTTCAACTTCTTCTGTGTCTTATTGAGGCCATGCACTTTCTCACCCGTGACCTTAAAATTCAGTTTTCCAAGGCTTGCAGGATTTGTAAATCATACCCCGACTTAGCCATGAGTTGGTATGCTTTAGGATCGAATCCTTCATCAGTCCTTTGTTTTGGAAGTGATCCATGATCAACCAAAGATTGAGAAGGCCGCACGAACCCTGTTAACGGAGGCTTGGAAGGTGAAGACTTTTGAATTTTGGTGAGAGGAAGAGTTAACTCTCCTTGCAGCTTTTGCATATCTTCTTTTTCCTTGGTTTATGACATTTTCAATTTTAATTCCTTGGTTTCAATTATCTCGATGACAGGTGACTGCCCTCCTTGCCATTGAGATTTTGAAACATACTTTAAAATAGGTTTCGTCCGATGTGCTTTTATCGAGACCCCTCGCGTTTTAGCTACCTTTACAATGTCTGTCACTTTAAAATAGGTTTCGTCTGAAGATGAAGAACAACAAGCACATCCAAAGACATGCTGTTCTTCTTCAAATTCAACAAAGGACACAAATCCAGAAATTCAGAATTCAAAAACCCAGAATTCCAGAGAGAACTCTCATCCCCAACATCCAAACCCAAAAACGGAGAACATCAAGCACATCAAATCGTGTCGTTCTTCATCAAATTCCACGGTGATCAACAATAAGCACAGCCAAAGACATGCCGTTCTTCAACCAAATTCCACATTAATTCAAGATCAAGCTCGTGCAGCCCTTGGATCCCACCAACCAATCAGGAGATTGAATCAGAGGATCGTACTCTATTTTTTTTGTAAAGATTATTACAGAGGATTGTACCCCATATATCCAAATTAATAAAATTACATTATTTGCTCCGTATTTTGTTTCTATTGCAGACTTACAAAATTTGTGTGTACAGGGTTTTGTCAAGAAATTGTCAAAGGGAGAGATTGTGAGATATATATTTTGCAATTGGCTAATTTCAATGTCAAAATAAGCCTGATCCGTTCGAGTTGTATTTTCAAGTTTAAAATTCAAGATCAAGATCAGCTGCAGAATTGAAGAGTTATTCATGTTTGATAGCTTGAAGTTTACGAAAAAGTAAGAACAACACTTTAGGAAGTTGAGTTAACAGGTTAGGACACTTGCATGCATGAGTTGTTTTTCAAAAACTGCAAATCTTTTAATTAAGTGTCAACTTTCTGTTCAAGTTTAGTCAACTTGAACTGGTTCAACCTCCCTGAACCTGTTCAAGGTCTTCAGACAGCTTTGGTAACTTAGTTTCCTGGTCGATCTATTTAAACTTCATATTTAGTATAGGCTTCTTTCCAAAATACCTATGCACGAATTTAACGTATTTTCCAGGTATATCTAGGTTTTTGAAAGTTTATATAAATATATTTTCTCATCTAGGTTTGTGTGGCTTTTTGCATTAAACTTCTGATTTCTTTAAAAGCCTTTTTGTGAGATTTTTAAGATCATGCACACTATATGCACATGAGTGAATTTAGGGTGTTGTTCAAATCTTTATTATGTTCAAGTCTATTGAATATTGTATCTACAATGATCAGAAAAAGCAAATCTATTTGTTCTTCATTAAATTCAGATCTAAAGAAAAGGGGTGAAGCGATCACACTTTGAAGGGGTCAAATCAATATTCGCGGAGTATTGTTTGATTTACCAACAATCCATCTACAGAGATCAAAAATAAGCCTGGGGTCGAAAGCTGTTGGATGGGAAGTCGCAAAGCCAGTGATTGTCAGTTATTAGTTTTTGGTAGAACGATAGGGTGTGAGCCTGAATCAAAGTTCATTGTACTTTGTTTCAAACATAGTGGATCGTTTTACTCTGAATTGCACAGTCCACGAGGTTTTTCGCACAACGTTGGTCTCTTTTGTCAATCAAGGTTTCTTTGCTAAAAATTTAATGTCATCTCTCAAACTTTATTTGCTTTACTTGTTTTTATTTTGCATGTGAATGTTTAATTATTTGTTAATTTAAATAAAGGTAATTGAATAGAGAAACACGTGATTAAATCCTCTCTAGCTAGATAAAAATTTAATCTTTCCACAATTTTGCATAACTCACATTTTTTACTATTTATTTTTTATTTACTTGAGAGCACACACTATTACACGAGAGTAATCTTTGGATGGTCTTTTCTATTTGATCGGAGTTCAAGCATATTGAAAACCTAGTAGATTATGTTCAGAGAAGCAGGGGTTTCTATTTTGCCTTCACTAATTCAAAAATTGAAGGAAGGAGGAATCAGTCACACTACGAAAGGGTCAGAGCATTCGCAGAGTGTTCGCGATCTACCATCAATCCTTCTACACGAATCAAGGGAGTAAGCCTAAATTCTAGAGCGTTTGGACGAGGGAGTCGTAAAGTCAGAGGCGTTTAGCAATTGGTTCCTTGGTCGAGCGGAATGGGTGTGAGCCTGAGTCAAAGTCTGTTATACTTTCCTTTGAAGATAGTGAATCGTTTCGCTCGAGACTGCGAAAGTCTACATGGTTTTCATCCCGATTGGTCGAATTTTTTCTAACTAGGGTTTACACGCACAAAAACCCTGGTGCCAGCTCTCAAATTTTATTTACTTTAGTTGCACTTCATTTAATGTTTTGTAGGTTATTGTTTTAGTTTTATTTCAATAAAATTAAAATAATTTAAAAGTTGGACAAAAGGTAAGTAAAACCTATTCACTCGTTATTTTTATATCAAACTTCCACATTCATTGATATGTTCTCATGTTTTGTTAAGGTTTCCGGATTGCTCTTACTGGCTTATTATCTAGTTTGTAAATGAGTAGCTCGCCTTTGTGCCCGCATATGTACATTTTCTCTTAATTAATATATACAAAGCTTACCAAAAGAAAAAAGAAAAAATACATTTCAAATAGTCTTGAAGTTCCTTTAGCTTAGGATAAAATAATACATGTCTCTAAAACTTGCTACAAGAAAATGGGTGTAACAAAACTCTACATATCCCTATCTCGGTTAATAAAGAAAGAATCAATGTAAAAGTTCTATAACTACAAAATAAGCAATTAGAACCGGAAGTGATACAATTGTGCCAAAGATTACCCTGAAATTGAAGAGAAAATCATTTAGTCATTTTGAATGTTTTGATGATGAAAATGTTATACTATTTCTAACTTTATCTGTACTGTTTTTAAGAACAAAATTAGATAATTTGAGATGTTAATAAGATAGAGGGGGTGAATAAATTTTACTTTCCCTTTTGTCCTATTATCTAAAAACAGTAAGAAGAAAACTAGTAATGTAATATCATAATTCAAGGTTTGGTTCAATTATTTAAAAACAATTCTAAAAAATTTGGAGAAGTGCTTTCTTTAACCCTATTTTCAAAGTATAATTTTTACAAGATATCAGCCAAAGAAATTTTGGAACAGTTTTTTATTTCTTTTTATCTTTTTTTCTTTAAAAGAACAAAATTTGGTTAAAGCAAAAAAATAAAATAAAACAAAACAAAACCAAGTAAATTGTAACTCACGCGGTGCTAATCACTTGTGCATGCAATCCATATTCCTTAGCGAATATGAAGGAGGTGACGGATTGCGGCAATGCTGCCTGCGGCAAAGAAATAAAAAAATAAAAAATAACTGTTTTTGTAACATATAGAGATGTTTATATTATTGCAGCTAGTCAAATAGAAACTAAAATAAATGTCCACCTTCTAATTTCCCGATATTTATATCGATTTTTTTTTAATTGGAACATTTATTTTGGGACAATCAAAATAAAAAACGTGGATATTTATTTTAGGATGGAGAGTATATTTTAAGTAGATCCAGGTGGATGGAATTTTTTTTTTTTAAAGTCAGATATATATATATGTGTGTGGAAAACATGCATACATGGCATGATAGTAACAGCTTCAATTAACAAAATATAGGCTCTAGAAATTGTAGCTCATAAATCCAAATATTTCAGACTGTAATACCTAATCAATTAACAATAAATTTAGACTCTAAAGAAAAAGAAAAAAAGGAATTAATTAATTGAAAAGCTCAATTAAGGAATTAATTAATCACCTGAATGATCGCAACCTTTAAAACATCTCCTCTCAAACCTACAGCAATAGCACCTATTGCCATTGCTGCAGGTCCAGCAACAAACCTTAAAACCATCCCAAACACAGTAAGACCAGCACCACAAGCAATCACTTCCGTTTGCAATGCCATGAATAGTCCTGCATAGATATAGACAAATCCTCAAATATTTTGTATAGATATATATATATATATATATAGATATATAAGCAGTGACAGACCCAAAAAAAATTTTGAGGAGGGGTGCAGTTCATTTTTTATAAATAAAATAATAAATATAATAATTTAATTTGTGTAGCTTGTCCACACATGCTAAGCCGTGTCCTACATGTATCAGTGTGAGACCTAAATTCTTTGATCTCTTAATCGTGTGCAAGCTTGGATAGCATTATTCATAATCAAATGAAAATTTGTTTCAAGCTAGCTTTCAAAAAGAAAACAATTGCTATATATGTATATTGATGGTAGTATAGCTCACCAAGGCTAAACATGGCAGTGCCTGTTCCAGCTCTTGACATGATCAATATCGAGCCTTCAATGATGCTTGGCATCTTTAAATGCCACCTAAAAGCATTCATAAGATAAAGTCTCCAATGTCAGTAGTTCTTCGGATAATATCCTCTCTTACCAACATTGATGTGTCATATTTAATGTAATTGTAAGTTCCAAAACATATTTAATGTAATTGTAACAAGCATAAAAATTGATTTAAGCTGCTTATTCTTCTTCCTTTAATAATTTCCTTAATTTTAAGAAATACACGTACGATTGGAGAAGAAAAACTTGGGTCAGCCTGTGCATGGTGCACCTACCACACTCACAAAAAAAGTGGGTCTCACCAGTGGGTCCCACCACTGCCATTCATAAGAAACAACCAATGTTAGTGTGTTTGGTGCACCGGGCACGTCAGAGCAGTTCGTGTACAACATGCGGGGACACAAGAGAGAACAGACGGATCTAATGGCCTAATGCACCGGGCACACGGAATATATTCTCCAATGTTAGTAATTATTCCGTAATACTTGCCCCAACCCTGTCTCTTGCCAACTGACACTACTTTATTATTCATGTTGTATTAATGGCACGGAATCACTAACTTGTTAAATACCCGCACATATAATCACTTTATTTATTTATATGACGAGATATAATTAATTGAAAGAGTAATATCACCTGTGCAAAGAAGTTTTTTCCGCTGGTGACATGATATCAATTCACAACTTTGTAAATAATAAGAAGAGAATATTACGTGCTAAGGTTCGTCAAACACATGATAAGACACTGTCCCTCAAATAAAAAGCATGCATGCATTTTCTACATACCTGCTCGATGAAAAAGCCCAAGCAAGACCAAGAACACAAGCATATAAATTAGGGTTCTTAACCAGTTTCTGCCAAACCACCTTCATCAGATACCAGAAAGATGGCCGAGAGCTCACCGGAACGTGGTCATCTCCTTCCAAATCTTTCCTCGGTTCGCCAGAGACACTCGAGTCCCTCATAGTTGTACTCAAAGCAAAGTCCTTCCTGGTCTGTCTAAACTCCAAAACAAACAATAGTATCGTCAGCCACGCGATAGCCTGCACGACCGATGATTGGACAACAAGGTCTTCACCCATCTGACCATACATGGCCTTCAAAAGGGGCACACCTACAATCAAAGTATTATTTAGAGTAGAGAGTGAAAAGCTTGTTATGGACCAGCAATAGCTTCCCTTGCTACTACAGTTAGCCCAAAAGGCAATCACTAGCACAACAATGCATTTGGAGATAACATCTGCACCAATGAATGGATAATTCATTGCAAAGGGATCAACATGAGATATGAACTCAAAGCCTAAGAGAGGGAGGGTGAAATAGCAAGCAAAGCGATTTATCGCGTCGCACTGTTCGGGTGTAAACAAATGCCACCACTTCACTGAACCATAACCTAAAAATAGAGCTACATAGAGTGGTGCCATGGCTACCACCACCTTGTAAACATCTCCCCACTCTATCATTCTTAATTGTATATATATTCCTACAAAGAAAGGGTCTATATATCTTTCTTAGTTTAGGGTTTTGGACAGTTTTTCTGGTGCATGTAACAAGTTGATGAATGCAAATGGCAGAGTTATTTATATGAATGCAATACTAAATTTTTGTAGATCGAATTGGTGGGTCCATATGGTTTCAATACCGTGGAATCCTAAAAGGTGACACAAGTTTTGGTGGGGGGGTTGGAAAAGTCAGGGTGCTGTTTTCACTTGACTTTCTTAGTTATTTGTTTATTTTTGTGTGTCTATGTGGACGTGTGTTCTGGAAAATAATGTATAGAATAAGCATCGATTAATGAATGAGTCCAGCACTAATTCCACTCATCCATGCATTTTTTAAGTGGATCCCTCGCCAATGAAAGTGTGAAGCTCAAACTTGTTGGGTTTTGATAGACTGATAGTGACACATGAGGCATTAACCAAATAAACAGAGACTCGCTTCATGGTTGTAACCCAGTTGGGGTTTTACACCTCTTAACATGTAAGTTCAAAGTTTAAATTTTACACCTAGTTATCACAGCACGGTTGCGGAAGCTGTTAGTTGAATAGGCCTAGAGGGGTGAATAGGTTAACTTATTTAATTTTTGTGATTGATTAATTTATGCACAACAATGATCAATTAAACATCCACAACTACAAAAATAAATATTGTGAAGTAGAGCAAGTAAAATAGAGTTTTGAGAGATAACACTGGATTTTTAGTAAGGAAATTGTCTAGGAAAAACTTCGAAGATTTTGTTGTCTCGAATGAAAGAATCTACTATAGTTGAAGCAAAGTACAATGAACTCTTACTCAGTCTCACACCCTTTCTTGCAACCTCGTCGTTCAACAACTCTCGATTTTAGGTTTACTCTTGATCTATGTATAGAATGATTGCTGGTAGATCAACAATACTTCACAAATGTCTTGATATATTCCTTCAAAGTGTGATCAAAACCTCCTCTTCCTTCAAATATGAATTTTGTGAAGGTTTGTAAAAAAATCTACTCTTCTGATCTACTGGTAATCTAATGTAAACTCTAAAGATTCCGTATTGATAAGTAGAAAAATATCACCATAATTACTCTCATGTTTAAGTGTATACTCTCAAAAATATACAATCAGATTTCTTTGAAAAACCTCTCAAAAGCTTCAATGTTGAGCAACATATATATGAAAACTTTGATTTTCCAATTGAAGCAATCAATTTCCCTCTAGGGTTTGAGAAAATATGTTGTATATATATTAGAGAGCCCTTACCAAGTAAAAAAGAGCTTTTAAAGTCGTGCAAAAAGTTCTAGGAAACTAAAAAGTGCAACCAGTTGTATTTATCCCTAGTACAGTTTTTTGTGCAAGAAATGCAAACGATTCTAGAATGAAATGCAAACGGTTAGACTCTGCTAAATGTTGTTTCCAACCTATACTCTCATACCCAACTTTAAAAATATTCACAAATGATCCTCACTCGCTTACCTATTCTGAATGATATTCTCAACGAATTCAATGGTAAGAGACACTTGTACTTCAGCTCTAAAAGATCGAGACTCGAGATAAACAAACTTACAACGGTAAGAGATCGACACTCGCACTTCATGCCTATTTGGCATGCTTTGGGCCTCTTGGCCAATACACATGTAAATTTTCACACACCAGATTGGGCCGCTCTGCTACAAGTACCCCCATATTCAGTTGATTAGGATTACACAATGGGTTTGAATAGAGACCTAAAAACTTCCATTTTCTCAATCTTGATTCGCCTACAAATTCCAGAATTATAATCGTAGTTGAACCAGAGAGATTTACCATCATAGAATTACTTAGCTAGCTTAGGTCTCATAAGAATATGAATATGGCTGACAAAACCCTTATTTGGCATATACTGTGGATGATCATATATATGGAGTAAATCGATCACGTTTTCGAGTAACAGTAATTGACTGTTCTAAGTGCACTCCTGATGTCACATGCAATTTCTTCAAACTAGTACTTTAGCTTCTAAGATTTCACATTCCACTAGCCTCTTCATTGTTATGTGTTAAATTCCTTGTTTGTTGCAAGGAGTCAACTCACACCACTAATTTTAGTGTGCATGTATCTAAAGGTGATGGATATATATATATATATATATCATGTTTTTATTTTTTATTTTTGGAAAATATAAGCATCCCACCAACCGATAGTGACCTAGCGGTATCAGGCTCTTACTTTCTAAAGGGAGGTCACGGGTTCAAATCTCAGAAGAGACAAATGTGTGTGAGTAAAAAAAAAAAAAAAATTTAAGCATCCCATCTCTGTAAATACTTGTACACTCGAAAGTACGGGTAACATACCGATACATATCTAATACTTGCTAAATGTATTCATAATTTTAAAAGATATATATTTTTATTTTTAACACATATTAGATACTTCAATCACCTATCTAATACTAATACTACTCAGATGCTTTGGAAGACATATTTACCAAGTTTTGAACAAGAAAATATATTTTCCAACAATACTAGGAGTTTAAAATTCATTTTTAATAATAATAATAAAAAAAAAGATATATTGCAATTTATTTAGTTATAATTACCTCTAATGCAGTGTTTTGTGTTATGAAACGAACTCCAATATTATATGTAACTGTTTCTTTATTTGAAATACATTAATTATTGTCGTATCTTACTATACTCATGTTCTATCCTTTCGTAAATTTACTGCATTACGGTATTATATGTATCGTATCTATATTCCATATTCGTTTGTATGCTTCCTTGTTTATATATCAAGATATATCAAAAGTTGTTGCTAGCTACATATTAGGAATGTTTTCTGATATTGGTCTTTAAATTTAGGCACATGTCATGTTTGAAACGATTGATATTAGTTTCAAATACTTCATAACATATCAAATTTTTTTTGTCTAAACTCATATCGCCAAATTGGTGATATTGTGTGTTTTGATATTGTAGCGGAAGAACTAAATCAAACTTTAAAACTTCCCAAAAATATATTTTCTTTATCAAACTTGGTTTCGATTTTTACCCAAAACGTATACTCATACAACAAAACGAATATTTTGATATTAACAAAAAAACATAACACCTAAAATATATCGCATGTCAAATAAATCCTAAAAGCCCAGTTATCAATTGCAAAGTTGGTTGCGTACATTAATACTTAAAATTAGGTATGTTCCCTCCATCGTCCTTTATTAAGTGCCATCAACATTAAGTTATGGGTCTTTGTATGTGTGCATGTGTGAATAAATGTTTGGTGCAACAAAATATTTCAAAGGCACTTGGGATTTTTATGTCTCATCATGACGCCTAAAGCATTGAGAATAGCATTCCTTAACCAATGGTGCTAGAATTTTTTTTCTTGTGATGGTGGACAAATTAATTAGTGGATGAGAAAAGTAACTTTTTTTTCATTGCCCCTTTCATCTATTAGGTCTGTGTGCATGTTGAGAGGAGTGTACATCTCGTCTTTGTTTTCCCTAATTAATACAAATAATATTTTTTTAAATTTTTTTTTGGTGGGTTACAATAATATTTCTTTTTAATTTTCAAAGTGTATGAGAAAAGTAGCTTTTATTTATTGCTTCTGTGATCCATTTGGTCTGTATGCTTGTAGATAGGTGTGTTTGTGTACATCTTGTCCCTGTTTTCATTAATTAATACAATAATATTTCTTTTTTATTTTATTTTTGTGGTGGGTTAGTAAAATATTGATGTCTCTTTTTTCTTTTTCTCTATTATTTTTTCTTTTATTTTGTATGCAATTTTTTTTTTTTTTTTTCAAGAAACAATTATATGTCTGTCCGTACATTAAATGCACGGTTCCTCAAATGACAAGTGGAAAACACAATTGTTTTGCATAAGAATATAATGTGTCACATCGAATCCACATAGAATAAATTTAGTAAGCGAGTCATCTCTCTCATGATCTTGATAGTTGACACGTTTTATTAATAAATTCACTTGAATTTTACAAAAAATAAAAATAAATTTAAAAATGTCTCAATATATTGGATATTAAAGAGAATTCATTATTTTTGTCACTGCAAGCTTCTCTCAATAATCTTACTCTTATATATAAACAGCACCAATGAATCAAATCACAGAATTGAATAATTTGAAATTCAAAAGTCGAATAATTCTAAATAATTCATGTAAATTAAAGTCATTAATATCCTTAATATCATGAAAATATTAATTTTTATTCACATAAAATTAATCAAATTTATTCGACCGTCCACTATCTACTATCTATTTGTAGTCCACGAAATCTAATGGAAAAGCTGAGCTTTAAAAAATAATAATAATAAAACGACAAACTCAAGTGGCTATTTCAAATTCATGTCATTAAACGAAGAAGAGAATCTGAGTGGATTTCATCATAATCAGAACAACACCTGGCAAAAGGTATATATTATATCTTTTCTTTGGTATACTATTTCTGCAACTGGCCGAAGTGTTGTGTGTGCGCATCAACCCAATATTCTAATACCACATGCTTTACTTTTGAAGCTGTGATTGCATGAGCCACGTGTGATAGGATTATATATAGAAAATACTAAACAACACAAATTATTATATTATAAAAATAACTTAAATTACACAACAGATGATATAACAATTTTATGTCGGATGACGTGGCAATTTAACTTTGTATATTTTAGAAACGATTTTGTCTAGATAAAACATGGTTGGATTGAGAGAAAAAATTAGAAAAATTATTTATGATAAAATTTGAACCTCAACATAGCTAATTGACATATGTTTCAGGTGCTAATTTTTTCTCTTCAATAAAAATTCTAATTTTCTGGATCAATTTTTATGTATAAGTAATTAGATAAGTTTGAAAAAATGTATATTAGATAAATATATAATTCACTTAAAATTTCTTAAAATTATATTTTGAGTCATCTTTCTTTTGAATAAGAACCTCAACTCAATGGTCTACTTGTGTGAATAGTTTAATAAATACAATATCAACTTCATGTTATTACAATTACAAAGTTGATAAAGGTAATAGAGAATATATTATATAAATAAAGAAAGTGTAATATCTATTAAAATTGACATATTCATCTTTTAATTAAACTCACATCATATTCCAGATGTATATCTAGAATTTTTTTTTTTTTTTGTGGAGATGTAGCATTGCTCGTTATATATTACAATTAGGCCAAAACTACCTAATGTAGTGATACTATCACGTGTTAAATAGTGTGTATAAGAATTTTTATTTTTTATAAAAGGCAAGTGTTTTAAAGAAATATATGGTCCATATTGTCAGAATTGAGACGAAAAGAATGATTTTTTTATTTTTTATTTTTAGGGATAATTACACAAACCTCTTTGAAACCTCAAGCTACTCTCGCCTTCTTTTTTATTTACCAAATAATAATGATCTCCCTCAAGATTTGTATACGTATAAGAACGGCTTCTCCTCCATCAACGAAAAATACTATTACTAATAGAAAATAATGATATCATCAATTTTTTATTATCAAATTTTCATTTTACCCCTCAAAGGTATGTAAATAAAGCAACTAAAGTGTCTAAAATACCCTCGTAGTTATTTCCCCTCAAATTCTCTCTCCAATCTCTCTCTACAATCAAATCCAAAATGTAAACAATTTTTTTTTTTTTTTTTTTTCAGAACCCTCATAATTATATCTCCCCTCTTCAAATTTTTCTCTCCAATCTTTGTCACTCTCTACTCTTTCCTCAATCAAATCCAAAACGTAAACAAATTGATAGGCAAACACTTAACCTTTCTTCTCCACATGTTAACTGTCGACGACCTTCCTCGAACCACCGCCGCTGACGATGACCACCACCCACTGCTCTAAACGGCTGGGTCGACCTCTCCCTCTTCAAAGCCTTCGAGAGATCCCACGGTGACTGGTCTTCGAAACGGGAAGCAAGAATTCCGATGGCGGTAAAAAGGACAGTGAGTCGCAATTCAGAGGCGGCTAGTGCTAGTGAGCAAGGCAGTGCTCTGATGGGTCAACGAACAGATTGACAAAAGTCAATTTCCAGAATTGCTTAGTGGATGTTGTTGCATGATGAACCCTTTTGCTTGTAATTATTGTCCTGATCCATGAATTAGTCAATGTACATAATTTAGGATGATGACCCACAAATGCACGGATAGCTAATTTTTCAACTTATCATGATAGATTCAGTAGTGACAATAATAATCCTATGTTAGAAACAAAATGTTCATTTATTTTTTCAATTTTTTTTTTCTTTTATTGGTACAGGCGCATTTAAAGCTAGCGTTGTTAAATTTTTTCTTGATAAGTCAAAGCTAGCTTTGTTAATTGATGGGTTTATGTTCTTCTTTTTCTTTTTCTTTTTTTTTTTTTTTCCCTCCTTCTAGAAAGACATGGGTTTATGTTCTTGCTTCCACTTTATTTGAGCACAAGGCCAAGTAATGGTGCTCGGTAGATTCGGCGGTGACAAAATAGTAACTGAATATCCTGCTTTAATGGGGTTTTTGGGCATTTTTGTCTTTTCAAATTGCATTGTGTTTCAAATAAAATATAATGTAAATATAAAAGAGTAGAAAAGTAATTTCATTAGAACCATTAACGTTATCAATCCAAAAGCTTTGACAAGAGAGGTCATTATTATTTGATAAACAATAAGGAAAGTCAGTGTAAGTTAACGAAACTTTAAGAGAAATAGTGTAATTTTCCCATATTTTTATAATTATAGTGTTGGACAAAAATTTGTCAGAGTTTGAAGAGAACTCAACAGTATATATATATATATATATAAATTTTTGAAATTATATCAAGCAATTGTAGTTGAAAGAAGTTTTTAGAATTGAACTAATAGAAGAAGAAAAAGTCCATCTTTTACCTCTTGCTGGTTGCGGGCTTTAGCCCTTAGTTTCTTGTTTTGGGCCTAGGGCCCGCCAACCCTTTCTTAAACCTTAAACCCTCCTCTACTCCAGGTGAAGGTCTTTTCCATCCGCCTATTTTGGGGAGAAGGGAGGAGAGAGAAACTGAATAACAACCTGCGCTTAACAATTTTTAATTTTAACCTTTTCAAAAATATTCAAATAAATATCTACCTTTTATTATTTTATACTGTAAGGATATATTGGTAAAAAAATCTATAAAAACTCATTTTCCCTTCTTCCAACCAAACATAAAAAATATTAACCCAACTATCATTTCTACTATTCATTCCATTCAACAAAAAAATACTAATAATAATAATAATAATAATGGAGTAGACAACTTCCCTTCCCTAGGGATCCCTCATCAATCACTCCCCCCATCTCTTCCATTCATTTTTCCGTCCCTCCAACCAAAGCACAAGTGTTTCAAGAGTTCAATTTAGTAAAAAATCTTTACCAGGCAGCCCCTACCCTATTCAAAATAAATAACAGATTAAAAATGTAGGTTTATTATTTTCCAAAACAAAAAGTGCATTCATGTTTTGCATAAAATAAAGGATGTTAGCATGGGAAAAACCAATAAGGCACATCATTGCATGAGAAATTGTGACAGTAAAGGAACATTTCCTGAAACTATATATATATTGGACAAAGGAAATTAAAAGGAAATGAGAAACAAAGCAAAGCAAAACAAAACAATAACATACAGAGCCAGAGAGACTCAACTAAACCATAAGGAAAAAGGACCTACAAGGCTATAAGGCTATTTCTCACCAGAAAAAAGCCCTTTAGAACTCTTTGCCAGTAGAGCTAAAAGTCAATTTCAAGGTCTCTGAATACTAGACCACCAAAGGACCTGCTTTGAGAGACTGAGGTCCAGTTCTTCTCATGACTAGTTGAATCCAATACATATGCTGAATAACATCGACACCAAATTTTGGATATGTTCCTCAAAGAATGAATTCACCAAGAAAATACAGAACATGTATATATTTTCAGTTATATATAATGCTGCGCAATCATTCACAAACAAAAGCCATATAAACCAATCATCCACAAACAAAATTGTACAATATCACTGAGTCACATCCAAGTTGCACAAGCCTAAATCTCCTCTATCCAGAGTCTTTTGAGTGTAAATGAGCCTCAAAGCACCCAAGCACTAAGCAGTACATTACCTTGTATGTCTGGCTTATGTAGTGAAGAGAAAAATAGAAAATGAAAAGGTGGGAAAAAGATTTTGAAACTTGATTTCAAACCACTGCCACAGTACCGGAGTTTTCAGGAATAGTTGCAGCAGGTTGTCTGGTAACAGCAGCCAAAATGCCAGCATAACCCATCACCCCGACCAAGACATCCTCATTCTCGGCCTCGGTCACCCAAACATGAGTTGCCCGGTGAGAGAGCATCTGAGCCATGACCGCAGCCAATGAACTTGTAACCTTACACGTCAAGAGTGAACTTCTGCCCCTGTACATGCTCCTACCAACACCAAAACTTTGGCATGCCGGGTTGCTAAAGAACCCAACGCTCCTACTACTGAATTTCCGAGGCTTCATTGAGCCACCTCCATTGACCAAGTTACTATCTCCAACTATCAGATTGGCAGTGAGATCAGGCAGTGACCCTGAGGTCACATTATCCTCGACCCCCATTACAAACTGTCTTGCAGAGAGATTGGCAAGGGCCCATGCTGCAGCCAAGTAATTGCATTTCCATAGCTTGCAAGCTGAAACCTCCCCAATGATCAAATGTTGACCATCCAATGTGGTCTCCACAACGGCAACTGCACTAGGGTCCTGGCGAATCTTTTGAGTAGCTTCAAAGGCTGGGAGGGATGCTTCAATGGAATCATAGTTTGGGTTGATGGCACCAAGGGAAGAGATGGATGAGAGGGGGAGAGGAGCCAATGCACCCAGGCAATCAATGAGGAAACGGATGACATCTTCTCTTGACAGACAACAAAACTGGTCATGAGTAATGACGATGGAAGATGAGGAAGGACAGTTGGTGTTTGTAGCGGAGATGATACCATTACTGCCATAAATTTCAGGGTTCTTGAGCCACTTGCCACTGTAAAGAAATGAGAATCGCTTGCTCATTCCTTTCCATACTACACTTTTACGAACAAGGAGACGCCTCACACCCTGCTTCATCATCTCCAACGCATCTATCAATCTTGCACATGAATGAAAAAATCAATATTGATTCAACCAGGACTTAGGAATATATATGTGTGTATATATTTATTGATTCAACCAGGAAAAGATTTCTAAGATGACATTAGATGCTAACATTTACCAATTGTTCTCCTTTTTTCTTATTTTCTTTCTAAGAAGAAGAGATGAAAGAGGGGGTAAACCCATGAGACATCCACAGCCAAGGGTTCTCTCTTGCATACTCGGATACCCTACAAGGATTAACATGGGAGAACTGCACCGTGTTTCCATTTTATTCCCCCAAATATTATATAACAAGAAATGCATGCCATGCACAGTACCTCTTTTTTTAAAAATTTAATAATAATAAATAAATAAACAGAAGGTGTCCCCAACCCCTTTGGGCGGTGGGACTATTCGGGTACCAGTAATCACCCCATAAACCACCAGTATAGGGTAAGCCCACGGTGAAGGCTTGACACCCCAAAAGTTGAACACGATATTTCTGGGCCCAGGGGCCTTATGCCAACTCAGCTACCCTGTAGGGGTTGCCATGTAGAGAACTTCATAGAAACTAGAGAAAAAATGGATCAAATTTTCAAAAACTTCAAGGGTTTGGTGATCCAATCATTAAACCTTTGATGATTAGCCAAAAGATGATTAAAAGGTATCAATAACCCGCTGCAGATTAGAACAAATGTATTAGCAGGACTCAAGGATATTAGTTCCAGGTTCAAAGCCAACCCCACCCCAAAGATAATAATAAATGAATAAATTGTGATGGGATGATTTGATATATTCATAGATTAAATTATCTTTTAAATACAAAATTTTCCAGAAAATATAACTCCTTGTTATGACAAGTGCAACGAACCCAAGCAACAATCACGAAACACGGCAGAAAGTAAACATGCCACACACAAAGAACTGACAGATTTAGCGTGGTTCGGCAAAGCCTACATCCACGGTGAAGATCAAGTCACTATGCCAAAATCTAGATATTACAAGTTTCAGCCCCCAAACCCTAGCTCTCAGTCTCACCCTCTTTTCTGCAATTTTCAGTGTCTCTCAATGTACAACTCGAAACCTTAAACGCCCTTATATATCGGGCTACAAGAGAGTACTAATTAGGTCCATGACCCACAAGCAAAAACGGGTCAAAATATTTTCCTCAAGAGCAAGCTCGGGGTTGACCCAGCACAAAATTCGGGCCACAACATCACTCCTACATATTTGTAGAATATTATCCGCATTTGCAGCAACTGAAAGTTATATATAATGGTATCCCTTGCCAAGTTCTCTGAATAAATTGTGAAGAGATTTTTTCTTTTCTTTTTTTTTATGTTGTTCTCTTAAAATATAAAAAATGTTCCAGAAAATAAAATGCTTCTTGAATAAATAAGTAGAATAGCATCCCCATTACAGAACCTGACATAGTTGTATATAGTAATACCCCTTGCTTCAGAGATTAATACTCATTAATTAATGTGTTGGTGATACGAAAACCATGAGTTATTGGTTTTTTATTGCACCATATTGGCCTGTGTCTTATAGGTGCAGACTGCTGACTATATATAGCACTTCCTCTCTGTGGCTATAAAAGTGAGACATGATTTCAGGTTGAAATTTGGATCATAAACATCATATTTTGGGAAGTTCCAGGATCTATTAATAATCCATCATACTTCGACCGACTTTTACCTCTGTCTGATTGAGTCTTTAACTTACCCAGTTACCCCACAAATTAAGATCACATGCCCGATCGCCCGTCATCAGTCCCCGTTAGGTGCCGGAAGAAAATGACCAGCTATATACCTCACCTTTACATCATTTGCACAAATGCAGTTGTCCTTAAACTCAACTGTCCGACCTTTTACCACTGTACCAGATACACAACAACAGCAAAAAACAAGCCTTTTTCCCAATTACTTGGGGCCAGCTACATGAATCTTATGTTTCCATTCCGCGGTCATAACCTCTATAATCCACGTGCTATCATATATTTCTTTACCAACTCTACCCAACAAACAAGGCTTACCTCACTTTCTTACAAGAACTTCATATTGTATGAATTTTGTGATGACATCTTATAAAAATTATTTACTTTTAACATGTATAACATAACTTTATAAAAGTTGAACCCATAACATTGAATGTGCTAGTCTAATTTAACTTGGTTAATAATAATAATAATAACAATATGAACTTTTTTATTCTTTTTGCATATTTTTATCAACTGTGTTTCATTTGGCAATGATAATGTGCAAGTACAAGGTTATTGCTCTGATTTTTACTTTGTTTAATATTTTTCAATAACTTATATGTTGTTGAGATTGATGTTCTGCAAAAATAAATTAGTGAGACTAGTTTACAGGGCCAAAACAGAAAGTGGGGTGCTTTAACCCTGTTGTGGCTAAGGCATAAGCTTATCAATATTTCTATTTTTCATGCACAGAAAGTATACATTATAACAAACAAATAAATAGACACTTTGCCCTTGTTCTCTGGTCTCTCTGTGTACGATCATTTTGTCGATAAAAAATTACACAGTTTTTTAGTTAATCAGCTAAAACATATTTTACACAAATCTATTGATCAAAAAGTTACTATAGAGCACCAAAAAGAAGGTGTGATCCATATACACATGAAGTATTCACGATCACCAAAATCAATAATAAAAAGAAAAACTACCCAAAATTATTAATAATAATAAAAAGACAAACTACCCAAAAATCCTCAAAAGAATGTAAAGACAAATACACTGCCTGATTTAGCCACTGAAAAAATCTTCTCTGCTTCTTTCCAACCAGGTTTCCACATAAAACAAAATGGGGCAACATTCCAAATTCCCTACACCTCATTCCCTTTCCAAATAGCAAAAAACCTCAAGCAATTACACTTTTCCCAAGTAACACCAAATAAGAAGAAAAGCAGACTCCACAACTCCCTGATCATCCCACAATGTAAGGAAAGATCATTAACATTCCCATCTACCCACTTACACAAGCAACACCATTCACCAATCACTTGATCCCTCTTCCTTAGAGTACCAATAATAAGGATTTCTTCAAACATAGTTGTCCAAGCAAAGACTACCACACCCCTCCACCTAATCGAGTAGTCCACCTCCCAAACAGTACCACCGTATAACAGACCCGTCAAGGACTCTACTGTCTGACATAACGGTTGGGGTAGCTTCCCAAAATCAAAGTCCACCATTGATAAGGCCTTTGTACAAGGAATTTTGTTATAAATAATTCATGAGAAAATAGATTTTTGGTGAGTGTATTTCTTAAATGTCTATTAACTACTAAAGTATTTTGTGTTTGACAATATAATCCCTTACCCTTAATAACTACTAGTAGTACATTTTAATAGAAACAACTACCTTCAACAATTAATTATGTTCAAGTTACTCTGTTATAGATCACATGATAGTGTTTTCTAGAGAATCAAACATCTTCTAAAATCAAGCAACAACTCATCGAGACTCTATTAGATGAGTACAGATGTAGGAATTTTAATACATGGAATGTCTCAATCGACGGGCATTTTGATAGTGGTGCGAGCAGTCAGCTCCGTCGTTGGTGATATTCACATTGTCGCTCTTTTGTCATTTTCCCTTTCTTCCTGTTTATAGCACTTTTGGTAAAGAATGGCTTAAACTCTGCAAAGGTTGTAGAAAGTATCATACTATTCACGTATCTATAGTCCATAGACTAAGTGCATCTCTGTATCCTCACCATCATGCTGGGGAAGTGGCAATGGCTCTTGGAGATAGAAGAGATAAGCTTCTTTTCAGTTGAAAGGAAGGAGATGGGACGGTTGAAATTCGTCTGAAATAGTTGCGAAGAAGAGAGCGTTTTTGGAGGTTTGGGGTAAATGTTGCTGTCTCCTGTGAGAAGAGAGAGATATAGAGGAAAGATGAGCCAGTCTGTGCGAAGAGCGAGAGAGGAGTAGTCTTGTGCAGGTGAGTGAAGTACATGAGAGAGAGCAAAAGAGAACAGCGCTCTCCAGGGAGAATCCCACAAATAGGATAAAAGATTCCCAGCATCCGACATCAAGAGAGCGAGATTTTATTAAATAGAGATAGATAACAAGTTGAAAAGCAAAGCTAGATAGAGTGCTTTTCAAAACGATCAGACGCCCCCCTTTTCAAAGATATTGCTTCTTCCAGCTTGCCAACCTCCTCTTGAACTGCTCCACCACCGAGTCCCATGAAAAGACACTCCTTGAAGGAGCTCCTAAAGGCAACCCCAAAAAATGGCACTAACCCAAAATACTGCCCAAATATGCTATCTTTGCCAACCTCCCCCACCGGCACAATCTCACACTGTCCAAGGTTAACTTTCAACTCCTAGACATCTTGGAAACAAACCTACACAAACTTGAGGTATCTCAAATGAACCTCCTCCGCATCACAGAACACAATCGTGTTGTCCATAAACAAAAGATGAGAAATCTCCAACTGGCTAGCGACCCTGAAACCTCTGATGAGTCCCATCTCTACAGCCCGCCTCATTAATCTGCTGAAAGCCTCCATCACCTTGATAAAGAGGAATGGCTACAAGGTATCCCCATGCCTCAGCCCTTCCGAACTGCCAAAGAAACCAAATGGCACCCCATTCACCAAAAATGAGAATCTCAAGTTGGATATACAAAACAGAATTCAGCTCCTCCACCTCCCGAAAACCATCCTCTCCAAGAAATACATCAAGAAGCCTCCAGCTCACATTGCCATACGCCTTTTCCACATCCGGCTGGCACACCACCCCTGACACTCCACTGCTGAGTCTAGAATCGGCACACTCGCTTGCAATCAGAACTGAGTTGAGGATATGACGGCCCCTAACAAGAGCATTCTGAGACGCTGAAATCTCTCCATCAATAACTTCCTTCAATCTCAAGGCTAGGACTTTGACTATTAGCTTGCACATGCTTCCAACCAAGCTGATAGGCCTAAAGTCCTTCACGTCAACTGCACAACCCATCTTGGTGATGATAGCAATGAAGGAAGCG